GCTTAATTAGAAATTTTCACAATAAAATATTTTACAAATAAATACAAATAAAATCACTATTTCAGAACTTATTATTATTTTTTTCCAAAAATCTCTTTTTAATGGTTGCAAACAGGAGGTAAAAAATCATTTTTCACCACACACTATGGTCGAATAATTTCATATGTAAATTTGAAAAATTTCACTATTCTGCACCACATTCTTCAAAAATGACTATTTCAAAACCTTTTTTCCTTACAAATTCACACAATAAAACATTTTGCATATCTAAATTTTTCATAGTTTTTAACAACATATTTTTAAAAAAATTATTATTCCAAACATCATCCCTCCAACGCACTGCCAATTTCTCTTTATAACACATCCTTCAAAAATTAATTAATCCAAAACACATTTTCACTTAATAACGATAGACAAATATGAGCTGAACCTCTCCGTTGATGTAGATGCACACCGTGCTTAGTTGGTTGTACCCTTCCATGATCAATTTTGATATATAATTTGCGGCCAAAATAATTGATAATTTAATTCAAATCAAATTAGTTTTAAAAAATTCACAAAAATACCAACACTGCCGTCGGCCTCGCTCCTCTGCTCACCGTTTCATCTATTGATTTTATTCTTCACTCATTACTCTCTCTCTAAAACTGCAACTCTTCTGTCTTAAAGAAGAAGAAACGTAGTTTTTGCCTCTTTCTCTCTATATCTTCACACTAACTGTGCGCGCGTATACCTTTTCTTCTGAAAGCTTCTTCGATAATGGTATTGTGCTGAAAAAGCTTTAAAAACAATTAAAATCGATTAATGTTCTTCGCTTTTTGCGATTCATACCATGTGATCACTGACACATTCATTGTTTTCTCTCTCCATATAGATGTACATACAATTGCGCTGATAAAAATATATTGGTGGAGTGATTTCTGTATCAATTTGAGCAATGGCGGCGTCATCTTCTAGAGGGAGGAGTAGCTCGCCATTTCACCACAGGAAACCGTCGAGTCCATACTCATCTATGTCATCATCATCATCTCTGATGAATGCTCGCCTCATGCCGCGCTCGTGCTCTTCCTCCGCCGCTTCGTTTTACGGAGGAGGAGGAGGTGGTGGATCGAGATCCATGACTCCCAGTAAAAGTAGTGCCGACCCCTCGTACTCTCGGGGTTACAACAATCGTACACCTGTCAGTTACCCTTCAATGGACGAGGCGCTGATTGGCGTGCCGCTGGAGACTACTTCGAGATCGGGAGATAGCATTTCAGTGACAATTAGATTTAGACCGATGAGGTGAATCAAACGAATGCTAGATCTGAATGGATTGATTATAGATCTATTGCTTTTGAATTTGAAAACTTTTGAGCTTGGGTTGTGTGTTTATAGGCAATGCCAAATATAATTGGAAATTTATTTAATTCTTTTTCTGGCAGTGAAAGGGAGTTTCAGAGAGGCGATGAGATTGCTTGGTATGCTGATGGCGATAAACTTGTAAGGAATGAGTATAGCCCCATGACTGCTTATGCCTATGGTACTGTCCTTTATGCTCTTCTTGTTAATATTTCTGTTTAAATATGAATTTTGAAATTGCAATTTTGAAATAAATAATCTAGAACTTGTGATTTGGCACTGGATAAAGTCTGAAACATTGTCATTGTGAATTGTTGTGATCAAATATTCTTAAGAGTAGTTTGATCGTTGTATTGATGCTCTTTATTAGTCTACTTTGTTTAATCAGGATATTGTACATTCAGTCAATATACTTTCACGCATGACAGATAAAGTCTTTGGACCCAATACCAATACTCAAGAAGTATATGATGTAGCTGGTCAACCAGTAGTGAAGGCTGCAATGGAGGGTGTAAATGGTATGTTTACTAGCTTTAGCTTTTAATAACTTTCATGAAATAAACTTCCCTTTCTGTTTGAGACTTCGAAGAAATGATGTCAAAATTTATGCCAACGGCTACATTTTTTATGGTAAAAACCTTCACGTTAGTCATTGTCAAGTGCTAAACTAGAAGTGTTCTGCACATTTGAAGTAAATGTTATTTGCTGTAGTGCCATTTTATGAGTAATTGTTTGGATGAAAGTTTTTTTGTAAATTTTTGCTAATAACGTTAGCTGGTGGCCTGGTTCATAATGTAGGAACCGTATTTGCTTATGGTGTTACAAGTAGTGGAAAGACACACACCATGCATGTAAGATAATTCCTTCATTGCTAAATACCTTTGTTCTATTTCTGCCAGATTTTGATGCTTTGAAGGCTTTGGAAACTCTTATTTGTTAATTGTGTATCGAGTTGGAAGTTGCTGGGAAATTGAGTACACTCATGAGAGTTCTAGTCTTATGGGTACTTTATTACACAATATATTACTATACAAAACATAGTTTTATTTCAAGGAATGCAATATGAATAGTTCTTAGTGTCCATGTGTCCACATTTTGATGCTTCGTAATTATATAAATGTCATGGCATCCAAAAACTAAAATTCTCAAAATCTGTTATATTTCGTTGTGCCCTTGAGTACGAAATATCTGTGATTGCAATTAACATGACTACAGTAACTCTATTTCTATTCTTTTTTATATTGTCAGTTTGTTTTGTTCGCTTGTCTTTGGACTCCAGTTTTGGAATTAATTTTTTTTTGTTATGCACAGCAACATTATGTGCAGTAATTTCTTGGCTTTCTATGTGTATTGTCAGGGAGATCAAAATTCACCAGGAATTATACCATTGGCTATAAAAGATGTCTTCAGCATTATTCAAGATGTAAGTTTGTATTTCTGTGCTGGTTGCATCTGTGTTCATCCATGCGATCTGTGTGCACATTTATTTGTGTTTGCATGTATATACGAAAATAATAATTTGTCATTGATCTATGGATAACTATTGGTTTCCCTTCAGACTCCTGGACGTGAATTCTTACTTCGTGTGTCATATCTTGAAATCTACAATGAGGTTAGTACAAGTGTCACCGTGTAAATGATATATTAGCGTATCATTGTGAGTCAGCTTAGGAATTTCCGCCTTGCCCATCATTCATGGTTTATATAAGCAGTTTATGCATCATTCTAGTAAATAGTATAAAATCTGTAACTAACATGTATTCCAGATCATCATCACTTGAAAGTTCTCTGATGCATGTTTCTCTAACATATCTGCTAACAGGTGATTAATGATTTGCTGGACCCAACCGGTCAAAATTTGCGTGTTAGAGAAGATGCTCAGGTTGTTTTCTATACCAAGCTGTCTTTTCTACTGTTTCCCTGTTTTGACATATTTTGACAATTTTCCTTCTATCACTTGACAATTTTTTTAAGGTCACTACTTGACTATACGTCTTTTGATGACTACATTTTGTTAATATAATATCGGTGCATTTTTGTCTTAGCGTAACTCTTCTTACCTGCAATTACATGTGCATAATACATTTTAAACTCCATTATGTTAACAGCCGAAGCAAGCATGCTAGTTTCAAATTCTAAACTTTCTATTTTGTGCTCTAAATGTTCACCACCTTATTTGTTGGATCAACAATTGCCTCTTTTAGTCTTCAATTTCTTAACTTTACCATTTTCTGTTGCAAATACTATTGATTAACTTTTATTTTGATATCTCTTCGGTTTCTTTACATTGCAACTTGTGCATAGGGGACATATGTTGAGGGTATAAAAGAAGAAGTTGTTTTGTCCCCTGGACATGCACTTTCATTTATTGCTGCTGGAGAAGGTGCAATTTGTATTTTTTGTGCACAGCTCTATCTTCTTTGATATATTGAAGTAGTTTGTTACGCTTGCATTATGATTTTTATATTTAATCTGATGACAGAGCATCGGCATGTTGGTTCCAATAATTTCAACTTATTTAGCAGCCGGAGCCATACAATATTCACATTGGTATGGAGTGCTAGAATTTGCTCATTACTCAGTTTAGTTCTACGGAACTTTGGTTTATCTGTTCCTATTTTTTACGTCATGTCTTCTTCATTTAACCTTCATTATGTTTTCCTTACTCCTTCGAGATTATTTTCCACGAACATAGCAAGTTTCTCATAAAAAGTCAAGTGCGATGTTGCTTATCTTCCTATGTGTTTTCAACGTAAATATATGATAGGCAAAGGACCAATGAGTTATTAAGCCCTTGTTTGATGGAATTTATTTGGGAAAACAATGTTTTGTATAGTAAATTTTTGATGAATGCGTGTTTACAAAGTAGGAAAGAGTTTTGAGTTTACGTGTAGGATGTTTTATTTTGTGAAGAAAATGAGTATGTAAAATAAAGAGTTTTGAAATAATGGTTGTCAAATAAAGGTTGATATTCAATTTTCACGATAATTAGTTATTATTAATTGGTTTTTGAATTTCATATTTTATAAAATACAAATTTGAATGTCGTTATTTGGTTAATAGACAATATGAAGAAAAGCTAGTTACTATCCCACATCCAGTTTGTACAAAAATGTAATAAATGCCTGGCTGCTAGAAACACAAGGAAATCTTGCACCAGCCTCGTCCTTCCAAAGTATGTATTGAGACACGACTTGAAAATAGTTTGAAGAAAGCTAATAATTTGGTTCTAATAGTTCCTTTCAGTATCTGAACTGGAGTGGAGTTGTGAGACACTAAACTAAGTTGGAAGCCTATAATATCAATTACATATAATGTATTTTCTATCAAGTGCATTCCTTCATGCCCTTGTTCATGCTTTCTGAATTTCTATATTTCATCCTCTTGTACTTTCATCTTGCATCCATCTCTAGAGTCTTTTATTTATTTTGGCTGCAGATGATTGAAAGTAGCGATCATGGCGACGATTATGATGGAGTGATATTCTCGCAGTTGGTATGTATATTCATTTGATATTAAGCACTGAAAAATTTGGTGTTATTAATTGTTTAAGATTTGTATACTTTCTATTGTATTATAGAATCTAAGCTTTTGTTTTATCCTGTTGATTAGAACTTAATTGATTTAGCGGGATCTGAGAGCTCAAAATCTGAAACAACCGGTTTAAGGAGAAAAGAAGGATCGTACATTAATAAAAGTCTTCTAACGCTTGGAACTGTGAGTTTATTTACTTTTTTTGCCATTATTATAACATTTCTTGTATTGTTTCTCTGTTAGTATCTTTATTTTTGTTCAATTTCGATGTCACATTCTATGTTTCTCTCATGTGCGAATGTACACACACAAACTTCAAATTGGAATTTAGCTGGGCATCTCTGATGCTTTGATGTTGTATGTAATGTCTAGGTGATTGGAAAACTAAGTGAAGGAAAAGCATCACATGTTCCTTATCGGGATTCAAAGCTTACTCGCCTTCTACAATCGTCTCTAAGTGGGCATGGACATGTTTCCGTAAGAGAAACCTTTAACTTTGTAGCCCAAGTTTTTCTTTCAATAATTTATGACACCATGTGGTGTTTCTTTTGTTGCTAGAAAAAGGTTTTGCTATTTGATATGCACATCCTCGCAATTACTGCCTGATTATTTCTTTTTGTGAATTGTGTCTGTCAAGATTTTGAGTTGTTCTGAATCCTAAAATAACAAAATTTGGGTCGAAATATTTCAGTAAGATATTTCCTTTTGTTATTTCTTTCCCACTAGCTTATATGTACGGTTACTCCGGCTTCAAGCAATATGGAGGAAACACACAATACATTAAAATTTGCAAGCAGGGCAAAACGTGTTGAAATATTTGCCTCACGTAATAAGGTAAGTGAGTAAACTATAAGCTGTGGAATGTGAGTTACATTTTATAATGATGAACTTTTATCAGTTTACTTTTCTTTATCTTTCAGATAATTGATGAAAAATCATTGATCAAGAAATATCAAAAGGAAATATCATTTCTTAAGCAAGAACTTGATGAACTTAAGAAGGGAATGCTTGCTGGTGTTAGTCATGAAGAAATTTTGACCCTAAAACAGAAGGTATACTTGACTCCAATTATTGTCTGAATGACGGAAGGTGAATGGTGTGAGAGAGACCAAAAATCTGAATGTTAATTGTTTGTGCTCCTGAGAGTTGACGTACTTTGTTGTGGAATTGTTTAAGATAGTTTGGCTTGTCTTTGACATCTATGATCCTTGCCATATAGTTGGAAGAAGGTCAAGTGAAAATGCAATCAAGACTGGAGGAAGAAGAGGAAGCCAAGGCTGCTCTAATGAGCAGAATCCAGAGGCTAACAAAGTTAATACTTGTTTCCTCGAAAAATACAATACCAGGATATTTGGGTGACATCTCTCACCAAAGGAGTCATTCTGCTACTGAGGACGATGTAGGTTGCTTGCTTTAATTTACTTATTTTACAAATCACGTTTGATCATTTTTATTCCTTCTTACCGTTACATGTAAATTGTTCTCTATATGTATTACGCCAATATATAATCATGAAAAGTAAAATCAGGTTTATAAATATAATTTTTCTATTAAAATAGAAGTCTATAAATTTTTCATATTCTTTGTCGACTATGATGGAAATGATTAACTTCCATTATGGCTTTTAATCTTTTACTAATTTCCTTATTGACAGTCCTTTGTCGATTACTTTGATTATATCTACCAAGTTTTTGCATTTCAATCCAAACCAATGAAACAAAGTTTTGTATCTTTCAGTTTCCATCTAGTAGAAAAATAGCACTTTGTGTTGTTCTTTTACTATTGCATATTCTTCCTGTTGTCAATCAGAAGTTGGATGTTCCACAAGAGAGTTCTTTGCTCATTGATGGTGAGAATCATCAAGAGTCCCCATCTTCTGCTTTGTCTATGTCATCAGATGCTAATGCTTCAATACACAGAAGAACATCTAGCAAGTGGAATGATAATTTATCACAAGCTGGCAGTACAATAACTGAAACAACTCAAGTCGGGGAACTTATTAGTGGTTCTTGCTGCACTTCAAAATTGCCTATTGTACGTTATACCTCCGCTTTAAAATTTTAATGCTTTTATTATTTTATGCCTCTTAAATGTCATGTTGAAGTTTTTTGAGCAATATTATCATCTGAAACGGAAATGTGTTGAAGCAATTACAATATTGATTCACTAGTTTTTTTTTAAATTTTAATTTTTAATGCTATCTATGTCAACATCAAATTTAATTTTGTAATGACTGCTTTGCTATAGTTCTTTTATGCTCTTATCCTGTTGATTTTAGGATGAGATGTCAATATCAGATCAGAATGACCTCCTAGTTGAGCAAGTGAAAATGCTTGCTGGAGAGATTGCATTCAGCACCAGTACCATGAAACGTTTGGTAGAGCAGTCTATTAATGATCCTGAAAGCTCTAAAACACTGGTATCCGTACATTTTCCTTGAAAATAAAATATCGTATAAATTACTCTAGTCAATTCCCATTTTTGAGATAAATTTTTGCACTGCAAACTATCATACAACTCAACAATCTACGCTCTTCCGGTATTAGCTTCCTGCTTTTCCATTATTTGGTTTTCATTAAATTCCTATCTAAAACTTCAACTTCTTAATCTATGATTTTTCATCTTCTCAATTTCTTTTAAAAGTTAGAACATTAAAATTAAAATAACTCAACTACTTGAAGAAAAATAACTCAACTACTTGAATACTATTTAGACTTGCTCCTTGTTGTTTTGGAATATCTTGAATTTGACTTACATGTTTAATATAAGAGGTTTATTTTATTCTTGCAAGTCCTCAGAAATTTTGTGGTCACATTATAATTTCTTTGTTGCCCTGTTTCCCCGTTGATTTTGAAGTCAATGCAAGATATTTTTGATGCACAGATTCAGAACTTGGAGCTTGAAATCCAAGAAAAGAGGAAGCAGATGAGAGACTTGGAACAGCGCATTGTCGAGAGTGGTGAATCATCAGTTGCTAATGCATCTATGGTTGATATGCAGCAGGTCATCTTATTCATTTGTAAATGAATTAGGGGCTGCAATTTTGCCATAAAAAGGATAATGACTTAATATCATGATGTTGGTTTTATTTTTTGCAACAGACGGTCATGAAACTGATGGCACAGTGTAGTGAGAAAGGTTTTGAGTTAGAGGTTATTTCTTCATCTTGCTTGATATTGTAAATTTATCTTCTGTGATTGCCATACTTTTTACTCCCAGAAAGAATTAAATTGTTATATAATTAAGAATTTTGATTTTAAAATGCAGATTAAATCAGCGGACAACCGTATACTCCAGGAACAGCTGCAGAACAAGGTCAAACAATAAAATTTGATGTTTTGATAAATGCTATTGTGTACTGTTGCATACCTTTGTGTTTAATCCACTTTTATGCTTCTGGTCTTTTGCCTATCCTTATAAGTTGGTTGATATTTTGTTATCATCAGTGTGCTGAAAACAAGGAACTGCAAGAGAAAATTATTCATCTGGAGCAGCGACTTGCTTCAGTTTCAGTTGACAAATTATCACACTCCTCTGAACAGCGTACTTCCGATGAATATGCTGACGAGTTAGGGAAAAAAATGCAGTCTCAGGTAATTGCTGCAACATCTTTACTCCAATTATAATTTTATTGATATTAAATCATTTAAATGTCTCAATCGTCTTAGTTGGTTTTTTCATTGTGTGGGTAAGAATTGTTTGGAGCTCAAAGGATCTTTCATCTCTATGGAGTTGCTGTGAACTAAGTTTTTGGGATAGTTGAGTTATGATGCTTCTATTCCTCACAAATGTGCTTCTAGGTATTAAGATTGCATTCTAATTTGTAGATATAAGTTAACTAGATGACAATGTAATTGATTGTTTAAGTTTTTCCAATTTAAGCCTATCAAGAAAAAATTTCTTCTTTCAGATTTGAAATTTCATACTTAAAATATATTTTTTCCTTTTTATCTTTACATCCTGATACTCCCATTTACATGTCAAATTATGTTGTGCAAGGACAAATTGAAATTGACACTTCTGGAGCAGTTAATACATCTTTCTTTTCATTATGTAACTTCTATGATTTTCTGGATCTTTATAAATATACTCCTGTGAAATTTTAGTGATTGGTGCTAGCTACATTTTCTTTTAACTTACCTGGATTGTTGTTCTGCCAAAATGCTGTACCCCAGATAGAAATAAAAGCATGTGTTCTTTCAGCTATTTAATTTGATAGACGTCTCTACTTTGAGCAGGAAATTGACAATGAGAAACTGAAGCTAGAACACGTTCGCACTGTAGAGGAAAATAGTGGATTACGTGTACAGAATCAGAAATTGTCTGAGGAAGCTTCTTATGCCAAAGAACTAGCCTCTGCTGCTGCAGTTGAGCTGAAAAATTTAGCTAGTGAAGTAACCAAGCTATCTGTACAGAATGCAAAACTAGAAAAAGAATTACTAGCTGCTCATGAGTTGGTGAAGTCTAGAGGTTCCAGTTTACAAACTGGTATTAGTGGAAACCGCAAATACCACGATGGGCAAAGGACTGGTCGCAGAGGTCGGCTTACTAGCCGAGCGAATGATGGTTCTGGAATGGTCCATGATGACTTTGACTCATGGAGCCTTGATCCTGATGATCTAAAGATGGAGTTACAAGCCAGGAAACAAAGGGAATCAGCTCTAGAAGCTGCCTTGGCTGAGAAGGAAATTTTGGAAGACGAGTATAGGAAAAAGTTTGAAGAGGCAAAGGACAGGGAGGCAGCTCTGGAAAATGATTTGGCAAACATGTGGGTGCTTGTTGCTCAGCTAAAGAAAGAGCGAAGTGTTGTGCAAGAATCAAAGGCTAGTGATGGACAGAGTGATGATACTGATCGAAACAGTGAATTAAGAATGGATAATGTTGACTACAAGGATCCAATCCTTAAAGATACACAAGCTCAAGATTGTACAGCACTAGCTTCTGACATTTCTGAAGAAGAACCTCTTGTTGTACGCCTGAAGGTAAAATTTTCTCCTTTAAAGTTGCATTTTCATGTTTATGCATGTACTTGACTCCCTATTCACATATTTTTGTGTTCATTTCAAGACTTTCTGGGTTCTTTGTTGTTTAATCAACTTGAGGCCATTTTTTAGCACCACTCTCAAATCTCAATTACCGAATGCCTGTTTGATGGTATCGCATTTTACTAAATTAAGTGCGTAGATTGTACTGTCTCCTTTGCCTGTTTGAAATAAACTAAGCAAACGAGGAGTATAAGCATTTGTAGTATTTTTGAGCCTTGGTTTTGTCCACAAAAAACAATCAAATGGATTCAAGTAGATTTTTCAGGAACACATCAATAAGTTAGACCCGTACTGCTAGTTGTTTCATGTCGTAAGTAAACTCGAAAACTCAAGAAATTAATTTGACAAGGATTAATTAACCTCTCTTATGTGCCTAGAGCAATTCATCATTATGTATGCATCTCATCGGCTTATTGGACATAATAGCAACATTGTGGATTTATTGTTTTCCTTATAACTACTTCAGGCTCGAATGCAGGAAATGAAGGAGAAAGAACTTAAGCACAACGGGAATGTGGATGCAAATTCTCATGTCTGTAAAGTATGTTTTGAGTCGGCCACAGCTGCAATGCTACTTCCCTGTCGTCACTTTTGCTGTAAGTCATTTTCTTGATGCTACCTTTATGCTCCTTAGTGCCGCAACTCTAACATTGGTTTCTCCCTTGGCAGTATGTAAATCTTGTTCGCTTGCATGTTCTGAATGTCCAATTTGCCGCACGAACATTGCAGATAGGATTTTTGCCTTTACATGACTTGGCACTTCTTATCCTCGAAAAAGAGGTAAAGATTGGTTGGTTGTTTTAGCGTAGCGTAATGGTCATTTTCTTACGTATGAGATGGGGCTTATGCATTTCCCCCCCTTACGGAGCATGTGAATAATAGCTCACCACGCATTCATTAATATTCTGCTTCATGTTATATAATCTGGGTAACCACAATTACTGAACCCTGTTTGGACTCCAATAAAATTTTAATGCATTTTTATCTTTCTTCTTTTCGACCACATTCTTCAATAAAACAATATTATACATAAATTAAAAAAATTTCATTCTTTTTAACCAGATTTTCTAAAAAATCATTATTCCGAAACATATTTTTCCTATAAACTAAATTTTAATGGAACCCAAACGGGGGTTAAAACTCTCTTGACTAAAATCAATTTAGTTTCCACTAAATATTATACCAGAATTGAAGTCATTTGATCAACATATTCCTTTTTTTCCCCTCGTCTTTTGAAGCTTATATTTAATCACACATTTTGTAGAACTCATAATTATTATTATCATTTTATTTACATATTTTGTCAATTTTTATCAAAATCTGTTATATGGTTGATTTTTAGCCAATCTAAGCATGGGCTTAATAAGCCAAACCATTGTTACACTAACAATTCTTCCTCATTTCCCCCCCCCCCCCCCCCCCCCTCCCCCCC